TTGCGGTTAGGGTTTAGGGTTTCGACTTCAGGAGCCGCAGGGCTTTCCGGATTTGCACATGGGAGTTTCCGAGAATAGAGGTACCTTATTTGGGGGTCCTTATACTAAGAGTCGTACTACTAAGGGTACTATCTTAGAGTCCCCCATTTTCGGAAACTCCCGCATGGCTTCAGGGCCTTGGGTCTCGGCCCAAAAACCCTGAAATTCAGGTTCGAGGTCTGCAGAGCTTTGCAATGGTCCAAAGCCTCAGCCTCCGCACCCGACGTCTTAACCCAAAATGTCTGAAGCCTCGTTTAGGATTTTTGCTGTAGTGCGCAGGGTTTAGGGTGTAGAGCTTAGGGTGTGGGGGTTTAGGGTACCCGTCTTAAAAGCCTGGTAAGCAAATCGGCTTGGCAGGTACCCTTGGTCTTCATCCAATCTTTGATGACGCTGCTTGGCTCAGTCAGGGAAGGGCCAAAAATCCATGAGCCCTAAACCTCAACGCTGAACCCTAAAACCCTTACCCTGAGCCTCGAAGCCTTCTTCAACCCCAAGTCTAGAGCCATAAGCCCTCAAAGCCCCAACCCTCAGACTTCAAAGGAGATTGCTGTGAATTTCGGAACGGGGGTCTCACAGTTTTCGGGTATCAGCTTTTGGGCTTTGTGTTTCGGGCTAAGGCTCTGGGGATACTCGGGTTTATTGTTGAAGGTTGACGACTAAAGATTCTGCTTGCAAGTTTGCGGCTTATGGTTGAGAGTTAGCATCTACACCATGCGTTGTGGAGGCGAAAGCCTAAACTTGTTCGGTAGGGTTTCCCACTAATGCTACCGTAAAGAGCTTCGATGCAGGCTTCGGAGTCAAGCCGAGCCCTCTCCCCTGGATTCCTGGCCTAAGGCTGGGGCTCTGCTATGTTGTCATGCCTTGCGCTCAGAGCATGAAGTGGGCACTGTGGTATATCGGATTGAGGGCTTAGGGCTTCCCGGGTTTACGGTCTGGGCTCCTTAGGGTTTAGGGCGTGATGCAGGGTCCTTGATCATTTGAACCTTAATGGCTTGAGGGTTCTGCAAAATACATTCCAGCATAATATTTGTCAAAGCCCTATTCTCAGTATCAAGGCCTCCACATCAGGTCTTGAGGTTCAGTTCATGTCAGTGTGGCTCTGCTTATGGTGCCTTGCCACCCACTCAGCCACGGGCTCTTTCACAAGTTGTTCTTCAACTGCTGTCCCAGACTTGGGGGGTGGGTTGAGGGGCAGGTTCGCTTGAAGTCTAACAATTACTGTTGAAGTCGTCGCCTCTTAAAGCCCTCAAGCTGAAACCCTGCGCTCCCATTCTCAAGCTCCGAACCCCAATAGTTCTCAGCCCGAAATTTTGCAGGCTAAACACCCTCAGCCATAAAACCCTCCCAGAAACTCTATAATCGAAGCCCTACAGGATGGAAGTGTGAGGATAGTCAGAGTAGTGTTTGGGCAGGTCTCTTTGCTCTAACTGTCTCAGGGAACCCAAGGAATAACACTACATATTCAAGCCTCGGGCCCTGCATAAGCCAGAAATCTACTGCAAGTTTTTTCATGCAGGCTAGAAACCAAAGTCAGCCCTAAGACTCTAAGCCTTATACCTTAGAAGCTGCCCCCCGCCCTGTAATCGCGACTATAAGGATTATATTAGTGCCCTATTATATTCCTTTTATACCACTATTACAGGGTGGGAGCCCCTTCTAACTTATACCTGCCAAAACCTGAACTTCGAAACCCCAAACTCGAACCCCACGGTAGACCGTAAACCCCTAAATCCCAAACCTGGAGTAGAAGCATTACCGCACGGTGGAACCCCCCCGTAAATCTTAAACCCCTAAACTCTAAACCCGACGGTAGAACCCGTAAAGAGCGGGGCTCGAACTCGGAAGTTTCGCCCACTTTGAGGTCCTTGAACGGCAACTTCTGGCCTGGAGCCCAGTGGGGGCTTAGTAGAGCTTTTAGGTTTTAGGGTTTAGGAGGTTTGAGCTAACGCGCCCCTTAGCGACCATGGTGTTTTGGCATAGTTTTAAGGTTTGGGGTCCAGGGTTGGGGGGGGGGGTCTGGTGACGTCCACTCGACCACGTCGTCGTAAGCAGCACCACCACCAACACCACCGACCACCGCTGCCACTGTCCTCGTCGGCAGCATGCACTCTAAAGTACTCGGGCGCATTCTGTACATTTGCCGTGTGCCGGCTTCTGCAACACGTTGGTTCATGGCCATGGTGTTCATACACATTCTCATGACACATGCTCATGGATGTCAGCTGCTTCTTGGCTTCAGAGCTCTACCGCACCTTCTTCATGTTGCCAGCCGGCAGCTCCGATTCTTGTGCTGGCTGTCCTGCCTCCTGGCCTTCGTCTTGGTGCTTCGCAAGCACGGCGTCGCCTTGCCTGCGAATCTGGGCGGATTTGCTCGGTTCTGCTTCGATGATGTTCACGATGCATGGCGTGCCTCTTGCCTGACATCTTGGGCTTTGTACTTGCTGCCATTTCTTTCCGCTGCGGCTTTCCACTCAGATTGTGACAGGCCCTTGGACGATGCTGCGATCCTCGTGCTTCATGCACTCTTTTCCGAGACCTCGGTCAACCGTGCAGGCGCCTTCCCTTGGACGGCTTTGGTTTCCTCGGCGACTGCTCTGGCATGGGTCTACTCCAGTGTGTACTCGCAGCCACTTCAGAGAGATGCGCAGCTTTTCAAAGATCGCTTGGCTTCTGCCATGAGCGAGCGATGGGGTCTGCTCGATCAGCTCTGGAGGCATCTGAAGCGCTACGTGCCGAGCACCCTGGCCTTGAAAAGGCCATTAGGGTCTGGCATCAAGCAGAACCCACGGCTCCTGCAGTACTGCTTTTCTTTTATGTTCCGGTTCAATGCTCAGAAGAGGCAGCTATGGACGGAACTCAGTCGGCTGGCCGACTCCAAGAACATGAGCTACAAGAAGTGAAAAAACGACTTATCCACTTCGCCAACCTGCAAATATACCACGAAAACCTGTGTTTTGTTGCTTCGGCGAGCCAAAGCCTGGTAAAACTAATGTATTCGAAGCATCCGAAGCAAGCCGTGTAGTCAAGCCTCTGCACAAAACCACACGCTTACCAGCATTTCCTCAAAATGCCGCCACCATGGATGGTGCCAAACCACCATGGTCACAAAGGCGCGCGGTTTTATAGAGGGTTTAGGGTGCTGATAGGTTATCATGGCTTAGCTTTTCATAATGGCTGAGTGGGCGTTTGGGAGTGGGGAGCCGGTTCATCAGGGCTCAATAGTTTGGGTTTATGGTATAGGGCCTCTTTGCAGAAGGGGCTTGGCAAGTGTTCATGGGGTTACATAAGGTTTCGCAGACTTCATACGGGCTAAGTAGAGGTCCATTCGGGTCTTATACGCCCCTGAAACCTATATTAAGGTCGTGTGGTTCGCCTTGTAGTGACCTTTATCAAGAGCGCAAAGCTAGAGACCAGTTCAACTTTGTGTTCCCGTGGGCATTGGGGAAGTAGTGTCTTGACGTATCCAAAAGCCTGAGCCCTAAACTGAGGGATTCCAGAAGCACATGAGCATGAGATGTTCATAGGATCTCAGCACCGTGATGGCTTAAGTTAAACGGTTGTTTGGATGAGATATTCCTATCCCGATGCTTGCTTCTGTGCTGCTTTGGGGCCCTATCAGCTTGAACCCCAAAGCATGAGCTCTCAGGGCACTTCTCTGGACCATCGTGTTGCTCTCTGCGGCGTGGCGGCAGTTGCTTCTGGACCCAGGGATAGTAGCAGTTTGAAGGTTCATCGCCGAGGGCTGCGCGCATACTAGAGCATTGCCCCACGTACCATGATTAAGCCATGCTTGATGAAGATACCCAGTCTATCTCCAGGCCATCGAGGCGGTTCTGGAAGCATTGCGCGACCACCTGTTCAAGCCTGAACTATCCAAACTTGAATCATAGAGCCTCCAACCGGAACCCTGAGGCCTTTGTCCTTTTAGCTCGCAATCTGAAGCGCGAGTTGTAGCCGCCTTAAGTCGTAAACCGAAACCCTAACTCAATGATCTTACAAGCTCCAAGCCCTAAAGCCCTTAATTGTTTGGCTCTTGACTGCCAAAGCCTATCCTCCGAGATCTGTTCCGTGAGCGTGGCCCTGGCCATCAGCTGCGCTGTCGGGGGCCCCAATCCAGCCCAAGGCCACTTGAGTGGGGGGAGGGGGGGTTGAAGTTTCGAAAGCATGTGTTTTAGGGTTTTGGGTTAATGCTCTTATTGCTTCATTCTGAGTTCACACCTATCATTGCCTTGTTAGTTCTCCTGTGCATGACGTAGGTTTCAGGGCAATGCTGCGAGAAGTCTGTTGCTCGGCATTGCCTGGGCGCTCTGTCACGATGTTGTCCCAAGGAGTCGCAAATCTTGTGTTTTTGTTGAACCTGTCTTACCTCGTCGCGTCTTGCCTTGCCTTGCTGTATCTCATGTTTGGAACTACGTGGCAGCGAGCCACTTCATGTACCAGTGCTCCTAACCGTGTCACTGTGGGGTTGTTGTGGGTCTGGAGATACCGTCAGCGCCGTATGCGGCATTTTCGTTTCCTGCTGCGACCCACTTCTTTTTCAATACAAACCGGCTTGAATGCAGAGCATGGTGCAAGTATGCGCGAAACCTTCGGTAACATCTACAGTTTCACTGCTTGTGTTTTTGACATGTCTGCTACTGGCCCATAGAGCACAGTCGAATGTTGGATTCAGCATCCTTGGGCGCTTGTGAAGTCGGAAGCACAAGCAGTATGTTGCGGAGAAGCCGTTTTTCAGGTTCAATTATCAGGACTACGCTTCTGGAATGATGGGGTGTAAGCTCGGGCTTTTGCGCCGGATTGGTTTGAACTTAGGCTTGGCATCTCTGGTTTGGTTTGGCTTCGCGGGACCGCGCTCCGTGCTGGTGTTGGGCCATATGGAGGTGGTGTGCATGTTCTTCCTGCACAACGCGACACAGGCTTGTCAACAAAATACACACATGTGCCTTGGCATGGGCTGTGTGATCTCGAAAGTTTTTGCATTCTGAATGGTTTGCAGCGCAGTCCTCTTTTCGCCCCTCTGTAGTTGCACTGTACTGTGATCTGCCGCGGAGCCGTATCCTAATTGTCAAGGTCACTGGTTCAAGCCATGTGTTTGTCAGCATCCCCAAAGCTCGTAATCCGGATCCCACTGTTTGGGTCCATGTTTCAGTCCGCTGTTTTCTTGGGAAGCCATACACACGTTCGGGACCCTAAAGCGAGGTTGGGCAGCCACGGGAAACTGGAGCAATCGGGCGGGGCTCTAAGGATTGGCCTTGCGCAACACATACAGTTTAGAGATGCTTAGGGTATAGGGTGCAGGGCTTAAGGGTTTACACATAAGGGTCATTTTGAGCCTTGTAGGTCGGTTATGTGTTTGGGGGTTCCATCATAAGAATGAGAGTCCTTCGGCCCAGTGTCTGGGGAAATTCCCATCAAGACACCTCCACTCCCTAAACTCTCAGACCTAAACCCCGACCTTTAAGCGTAAAGCACTCGATCTTCCATCCTCCGAACCCACATCCGAAAGTCAAAGTTTTGCAGGGAGTTTGGAGCCATTGCTTGCAGACTCCCCCTGAGCCCGCAGTGCAGGATAAATGAGTTGCTGGCAGGCAGGATTTAAACCTAGGGTTGCCGGGTTAAGATCTGTAGTTAATTACTTCTTCAGGGTGTACGGTTTAGGCTTTGTTTTCCCAGGTGTCCTCGAACCCAAAACCCCAACGTCTCGACCCGAAGCCAAGTCCTCCAATTCCCCTAGCACTCGAAGTAGAAATTCTGAAGTTTCCTCAACTACCGAGGCCCCTCGTCTTCGTGCCGCAGATGCTCTTCTCAGGCACTTGCTGAAGTGCTCAAAGCAAGGCTTGTGGCGCATTTATTTGGGCTTGTCGGCTTGCCATTATGGATTTATAGGCAACCTGATGAAGGTAGAGAAGGCCACTCATTTCCAAAAAGGCTCAGAAGCTCTCGAAGCCGTGTTTTGTCGGATACCTCGAACCCAGGCAGGTGCTACCGCCTGAGCCTGAAGCCCTAAGCCGTGTTCGATGCTTTATCCGTCGTCTTTTGCAGGGTGCTTCGTGCAGCTCTAGGAGACCCTTGGTGACCCAAAGGTTGATAAGCCTGCGCCCGAATGAGACTTCGTAACGGAGAGACCTGGAGGCTTTATCACGGCGCCTTCCAAGCTAAAATTCGACCCTAAACTCCATGATCCGAGCCGTAAACACCCAAGCTCCCTAAACCCCTTATAACCCCGAAACCCGAAACCCCGTACCCACGCCTGGGGCCTGTATAATCATATAATCCTACTGTGATGTGAAAGGCTAGCCTGCCTTGGGTATCCTGGAAGTCCCCTAGCTACCAAAGCTCAGAGGCCCTTTGCCTTAAGGACACTAAATTGAGCTAAGGTTTAGGAATTTAGGGTTTGGGCTGCGAGGTTTAGGAAACCTTAGAGGAGTTCGTCCATCAGCCGTATGAAGAGTTAAGCAATGACGTCGCAAGGCCTACAGTATGGAAAGTGCAGCACCGTCAGTTGTTGTCCTTCTGAGCATTTTGAGGTTTACCCGTTTGGGTTTGGGGCTTCCTAACCAGATGGTGTTTTTGTGATGTATAATATAACACCTCAAAGACCGCTAGCGATGGTGAACAGGCGGTTGAGCTCCTGCTACGGGTTTCAAGGCTGCAGCAGGTTTTAAGAGTCGCCGTGCGCAGTTCGAAGCTTTATAGCTTTTCCTGTGTGGCTTGGAACGGTTTGCTCTTGCGGGCCGTGCCTTTGTCGAAACCCTGAAACCTGATGGGTTCAGGACCTGTAGGCATGGAATCTCTTTGCCGCACGGCACAGGTGTCTTCATCCCGGTGAGCCACATGCCAGGCCTGAAGCGGTACAAGTGCTCTGGCCTCTCCTTGTCATGCGATCGGCGCTTCTGCTCTAAAGGCTCGTTGAATTGTGGACCTAGTTTCGATCCACCCCTAAACTCTAAACCCTAAACCGAGTTCTTGGGTGTTTGTGCGGAAGTGTTGGGACCGTAGCTCATGCTAACGACCCGGCTGAGATGTCCAACGAGCTCGACACCCCATGGCCTACCAACAAAAACCCAACCCTCAAATCCCAAGCCAAGCAGCCGACACGTCGATATATACATGTACTTTTTTGTTCTATATATATATATATATATATATGTGTGTGTGTACATCCCTCTTCTGATTTAAATCGCAGTTCTTGTGAACTCAACCCCAAGCTCCAAGCCCCCAAACCCCTAAAGCCTAAATCCCCTAAACCCAAAACCCTCTCTGCTGCAGTTTACCTCCGATGGATGCAGTACTGCAGCTTCCTGCAGCCGGACGCCTAAGAGTTGTTAGGCTTTTTTGGGTCGAGGGTCTATGGTCTTAGCCTCAGTGTCTTATAAGTCCTTCACCCTAAACTCCTAAACCCTACACCCTAAGCCCTAAGGAAACATATATAAGTCTAAGGAAGGTCTCCAAGGACTTTGCCCTGAACGCATGTCTCCGGTGCCGGAATTCGGGATCGAAAACTCCCTGACCCAACAACCCCTAAACGCGAACCTCTGAATCCCTGAGCCCCTCCCGACTTCACCCCTTAGTTAATCTCTTAGTCCCCAAAAACCCCTAAGCCCTTAAACCCCAAAAACCCCTAAGTCCCTACATCGCTTGAGCTCTACACTCGAAGGCTTCTCTCAGATCTTTGGAGATTCCGGCTTGGGTTTTTAAGGCTCTAAGGCTTAGTGGCTTAGTACAGACGTTTACAGGCCTTTTCAGGGTTTAGGAGCTCTAGGGTTTAGGGGCTGGGGTGTCATGTCATGACCGTCTGGCAATACTTACTTGTGTTGTTCTTGAGCGCGAGCCGGCCCTTGTTGGGAGGGCATGTACCCTCTGTGTAAGTGTAAGGTTCGACATGGAACCCGCAACCCTCAATAAGCAAGTCGAGCTTCCTTCCTTGTCACGCGGCGAGAGTTAAAACTGTAACTGAACCCCAAGTCCTATGGAAATCCCAAATGGATCTCTAAGCCGTAACACCTGAAGCCCCTAAAGCCGGATTTGGCTGTTCGAGGTATGCCATCAAAGTGCTCGGCATTGTTGAGTTCCAGAACGTGCCGCACAAGGAGCTCGTTCTGGATGCGCAGGACTCTCCAACCCCCCACAACCAGCAACGTTTTTGCTCACTCATTTCAGGGTCGGTGGTTCAGAGGAAATCTACAAGGAAGCCAGGATCTAGCCGCAGTCGTGGGAATGACAGTACGTACATCACCGAGTGGTTCTGAGCCTTTTACGCACCCCTGAACGTCCAGACAGGGCTTCATGTGTCGGAAACTGAGGATATCGGGGTCTTTGGGATTTCAAGTCGAGGTCCGATAAGGACATGACAGAGAAAGTAGAGCAGAAAGCCAACCACGAGACCTTAGCTACGCTGCGAGACCCTAAACCATGCACCCTGTCCCCGAATACGAAATGAGAGAACCAAGAGGGATTTCGAGGTCGAGAGTCTCGAGGCCTATAAGGGAAGCGGGAGGGGGGAGCCCCCAAGACCTTGAGCCTGAACCCTAAACCCTTATATCCTAAACCCTAAGCCCATACCCCAAACCCTAAACCTCAATCCCGAAAAGCTGTAAGGCTGTCGGTTTCGAGAGGCGTCTTTGCATCTCGAAGCTTTCGGGTTTATCTTGTTTCGGGTGTTGGGATTTGGGTTTAGGAAATTTGGGGGGTGAAAGCCCGCCCACGACGAGACCAAGCACGTGATCACAGCCCATACAGAGCCACGGACCTTGGCATATGACTTGATGTGGTAGTGTTCTTCTGATGTCTCGCAATTTGCTCATCGTTTCGCTGGCCTTTTGTGGATTTTCAGGCAACTGCCAGACGTCCGGGCCACCAACACACGCTCAAAGCGCGGGTGCCTCGCATAACACGCGGCAATAGAACCCCAAACCCTCACTAGCGCCGCTGCAGTACACCATTTAGGGCCCACCGTTGGGAGTTCGCAGCCTAAGCCCGTCACCTTGCAGGACATCAGCGAGAAGAACCTTTCTTTGTACGCAGGCAGGAACGGTTGCACACTTGCAAGATTTGAGCTTCAGGCTTGGTTGGTTGGGATTCAAGGCCGCGGGCTTAGTGATGAGCATTATGACAATCAGGAAGGTCCTGTAATTTCTGAGGGCAGGTGTACTCATCAGGATCTGCCTGCTAGTGCTCGCAGCGAAATCCCTGAGAACTTAGACTTGTCGACCTCTCGCCCACATGCACGTGTATAGGTCCTAACGTGTCGACGACAAGTGCTCTTATGCCAAAACCGAAAGACCTCAGCATGGTAGGCACTCCAAAAACCCGGGATGAAGCAATACACCTGACATTGCAGAATCATTCATGGGATTTGCGATCTTTAGGTTTTGGATTCGTCAATTTGCAAGATCTAGAGTGTATTGGGTGTCTGGAGACTCCGGCACAGTTCTTTCCCTGGAGGAGGCTTTGAAACTACGGGAGCCCAACCCGACCTCTTGAGCACTCTCACAACAATCGCACAAGTAGGTATGTCCCAGAACCAACGGCACGTCCCTAAACACAAAGCTCTCGAGTATTTAATTAAGACTCAAAGGATTTTCAGAACCAAAGAAGTCCTTCGTTGGTTTGAGAGATAGAGGGGGGGGTTCTCAGAGCTCCCTTGGCAGGCTTTCTTGTGGGTCTGGTCGTGACCTCGGATCTCACGAATTTCGGGCCTCCTTCAGTATAGAGGGAATTAGGGCTTGTCTGTCGGGGTTTGTCACGTGCGCTTTAGGTTCGGGATTCAGAGCAACGGGGTCCAATGTTTCGGGGTTTAGGCGTGCGCAGAATAGTGTTTTGGAATGTTTTGGATTTGGGACTAGCGGATGTGGGTTTAGGTGCATCGGCTTTAACTAGGGTTTAAGCGGTTTACGGGTGTGGAGTTTCGGGGTTGAATTTGCATCACATTCATTCAGGGGCCTTTATCAGAAACTTTATCATTACCGACATCATTCCTTTGGGTTCATTATGGGAGCCGTCATATAATGCACCCCAAACCCTGTTCTAGGCATTCGAGGCACAAAGGTCTCTGGTGTACCGTTAGGGCTTAAAGCTGGGGACCTCCCGTTCAGTGTAATACTACAGTTGGAGATTACAACCATCAACCCACTAAACCCTCTATATTCCTGGCAGATGTGTGCTGTCCTAGGGTAGGCAGAAGTTAGGACGGATTGTTGATTTGGGAGCAGTAAAACCGACCTTGCTTGGTCGGTTTCATCTCTAATCGTAGACTGTCTGTAGGGCCATTCACTCTACACCACAAGAACCCTGATCCCCCCGAAGCTCTAGGTTGCCCATCCTACCCTTGTGTCCTTCACTCTAAACCCTAAACCCCTAAAGGCGACTCTTAGGGAAGACCCAGGTTCTCTTGTTCTCCTTGACGGGCATCCAGATGCTGAGAAACAAGGCGACCCATCTCTTCTAAAGCGGACATTGCAGCATTAGACAGGCCCGAAGGGTTTGAGGCATAAGGTCACAAACGTTTAGGTTCCAGTGTCTAAGATCCAAGATGGGTCTTTAGGGTTTAGGTTGTTGGCCTGCACCCAAAACCCTATGTACATAACGTCCTGCTGCCGTCGGCAGCTGAGGGGCGTCTCGAAAACGTGTTTCAGAGTGCGTGCGCAGTGTCGGATCACCCGTCAAAATCCGAAAACCCTCGGGCTCAAGTTGAGGGCACCCGTAACGGCTTGCTAAACTTACACCACTACAATGCGCTAGTGAAGTCCCTATGCAAGGGTTTTCATGAGGTTCAGGGTACGCCCAGGCAAACTCGGAAGCTCGAAGCCCTTCAGATTATTGACTGGGACCCTTAAAGTGAGAAATCTTAGAACCCCCTGGAAACTTCAACACTTCGGGAGGTAGATGAGAGTTCCGGAAGAAAAGGGAAGTAAGATAAGTTTAGAATAGTGGGATCCTCAGTATATGGATTTGACAAGAAATTTGAGAAGGAGTTCCTATCTGAGACAATCCCCTGAACCTGCACAAGATCATCAGGAACTTCTGTAAACCACAAGAAACAAAAAGGGGATACTGTCAATTCGCAGAAATGTCGTGGTGGAACAATGGTAGCAAATTAGCCCTGCCAGCACCAGAAATACTTGTGATTCGCAGGGTGCACTGGGTCGTACTGCGGATAGCAAAATCCAATCATACTTTCAACATGAGTTTTATTTTCGGCAGAGGGGGAATTCAATGCAGTGGGGCCTAGCTTCTCGCACGCTGGACCAATCCGTCACTGCGCCACAGACCTGCGCCTGGGTTCGATGGTGGTGCCAGCATCAAAAGTGTTAACCCAAGGCTTCAAAACTCCAAAATCCGAACCCCTGTGCCGTAACCCCGGAACCTAAACTCCTTGCCTCAGATGCATTCTCGAAGGTGCACTCCCGCAGGCACACCTCAATCTCCTCTTGCTCCTACACCTATTTTGACCACGACTACGGCGACCAGCACTACTTCTACCTCTACCTCTACTTCTTCCCCTGCTTCTGCTCCCGCTCCTGCTCCTTCTCCTGCTCCTACTCCTCCCATTCCCACTACTACTACTACTAGTAGTACTACTACTACTACTACTACTACTACTAGTACTACTCGTACTACTACTACTACTACTACTACTACTACTACTACTACTACTACTACTACTACTACCACTACTACTACTACTACTACTACTACTACTACTACTACCACTACTACTACTACTACTACTACTACTACTACTACTACTACTACTACTACTACTACTACTACTGCTACTGCGACTGCGACTACTACTACTACTACTACTACTACTACTACTACTACTACTACTACTACTACTACTACACTACTACTACTACTACTACTACTACTACTACTACTACTACTACTACTACTACTACTACTACTACTACTACTACTACTACTACTACTATTACTACTACGACCACGACTGCGACTGCGACTGCGACTACGACTACGACTAGTACGACTGATTACTACTACCACCACTACCACTACCACTACCACTACCACTACCACTACCACTACCACTACCACTACCACTACCACTACCACTACCACTACCACTACACTACCACTACTACCACTACTACACTACCACTACCACTACCACTACCACTACCACTACCACTACCACTACCACTACCACTACCACTACCACTACCACTACCACTACCACTACCACTACCACTACCACTACCACTACCACTACCACTACCACTACCACTACCACTACTACCACTACCACCACTACTACTACTACTACCACCACTACTACTACTACTCCTGCTACTACTACTACTACTACTACTACTACTACTCCTGCTACTACTACTACTACTACTACTACTACTACTACTACTACTACTACTATCACTGCTATCACTACTGCCATGCAACATTGAAGTTGCCGAGGGTTATACGCTTGTCCTCGTTTTGCATCAGACTTTGGTGCAGTGATCATGAATGAATGACTACGACTACTACTACTACTACTGCTACTACTACTACTGCTACTACTACCACTACTGCTGCTACTACTACTCTTACTGACTTCTGCTACTGGCCGTTGTGACCATACACCTTCTTGTATGCAGAAGGCGAAAGCGCATCGGAACGCGCTCCATCGTCATCTCAGCAAGAACGCTAGCATGCATGGCAGGCAGATAAGGCGTAAGTTCGTTGCAGGTTTCAGGACGATGCCGCAAGTTGCCTTGCGCAGGTTTTCGGGTTTGGGATCAGGGTGCCGGACCAAGGATGCAGGTGTAAAGATCTTCCGGTAGATACATCACGCTACGATTGTCAACCAACTGGATGGAGTTGAAAGTTGAAACCCTAAACCTATACCCAAAGTTTTAGGTTTGCGTTTCTCACCCCCGGCTGCTACTTCGGACTCGTGATCACAGGGCCGCCTCCTCTTTGCCGAGTGCTGTTATCGAGTTCGAGGGGCCGAACCACCAAAGTAGACATTCGCACATTGGCATACTTTGACATACACAAATACGACTTGCCAGAGCGCACCGAACCAAAGTACTTCATTTGTGGGTGGTTTCCGAACTTTAGGGAGGATCCACAATTTGGAGCCTTTCGGAACTGAGAGCAGCAGCAATGCCCTTGCAGTCTAAACCGCCTAGCCGGCCTCTTGAAGCGCAAACCTTCAGCCCTGAATAGTTTCAGGTTTTAGGGTTGCGTTTACGGTGTAAGGATTGAATCTCACAAGCACCAAAGTTCGAAAGACCATTGAAATCCTCAGCGAAAGACGTTCGAAACTTTGCAACCCCCAGCATTATTGCATCATGGCGACGATGGCCTGCCATGAACGTTGCCGCGGCTGGCGGCACAAGGCCTGTTAAGCTTTGTCGTCTGCGTTCTCGGTTCGGGGTTTCGAGGGCTGTCCCGGGTGTATGGCATAACTCGGCAAAAACCAAAAACGTCTTCAGCACGACGGCTAGTCTCGTCGTGATGGGAGGCATGGTCGTGGTTCTTCTTACTATTGTTATTGTTGAGTGCTGCTGTTCCCGCTTCTGTACGAACAGCTAGTGTCCTCCTCCTTCCTCCTCCTCCTGGTCGCCATCATCATCATCATCATCATCATCGGCCTCACCATCGTCACCACCACCACCACCACCACCACCACCACCACCACCACCACCACCACCACCACCACCACCACCACCACCACCACCACCACCACCACCACCACCATCGCCATCATCATCATCATCATCATCATCATCATCATCATCATTGGCTTCTTCTTCTTCACCCTGACCATCGTCACCACCAAACCACCATCATCACCGTCATCATGGTCATAATGACCATGGCCATCATCATCACCATCATCATCCGCATCCTCACCATCACCATCACCCTCACCTTCGTCACCACCACCATCATCATCAATATCAACATTAGCATCAACATCATCGCCACCATCATCATCATCCTCACCGCCGTCACCTACCAACGTCATCATCATCATCATCACCAGCAGTGTCGTGAGCATAAGCTGTTAGTGTAAGCCCTAAGCGCTAAACCTTACGACATCTTTCGCTTGTGCCAGAAACTCGTCCTTTGCACCCAAACTCAATTTCCCAGGAGATTGAGGGCTTTCACTTTGAACTAGCAAGGCCTGTCTGTAGGATCCGATTACAGGCTCGGACATAGAGTTTGTAGCGCGGCAGAAAGAAAGGAGCTATTTAAAGGTAGGGCTTATTCCAGAGATCCGCGAGAAATGTTTCGATGCTCAGGTTAAGCCGCGGGGTGTAAAGAATGAATGGGGTTAAGTTGGAGTGTTGCGGGGTCGTTTCAGGAACAGCCTGTAGGGCCCAGCGATTAGCGTTTGGTGTTTACATTTCCTCGCCCAAAGGTCTTCTAAGCCTCAACTTCCAAGAGCCCATTACAGCCTGACAGTCTGGAGGAACGCCGCGGCAGGAGACGTTCGGAGCTTGAAGTCGGCGACTGCCATGGCCTCAGCTCCCAAGGCTTGAGTTACAGGGTTTAGAGACAAGGTTGGCTTTTGGGTGTAGGGTCCAGGGTGCAGGGCTTCAAGTTTTAAGGAGACTGGTTTCGGGTTCTGGTTTGGAGTCAGAAGCAATTGACGCGGGATGCCGATTGGGGTCATTTGCTACAGCTTCGGTCTTTCGGCGAAGCCGGAATCCCCAAGCAGTAGCAAATCGTATCATACATAGTTATAGTGTCTGTGCAGCTGTCCCCCGAAGCCCTGGTGAAGCTACTTACTTGTAGTCATTTAGGAATCATGACCTGGAACCCTCGCCGAGAAATGGGTTTAGGCTTTGGGGGTATTTAGGCCGTATTTCGTCCTGGGTGTGGCGAAGTCCCCATTAAAAGAGCACACTGGGTGGTTGTCAAAATTGGGGTTCCTGTTTAGGTCCTTAATATAGTACGGCACCCAATATTTAGGGTACCCAAAAAGGGATCTTAATTTTAACAATTACTCAAGTGGCTATATTTTGGTGTACATGGGAGCTTCAATCGTGACCTACACATACACGGACATGCCCCAAGCCCCTTGGCCCTCCACCCTAAACTTACATTCTAAACCCAGAATCCCAGACTCTAAACTCTCGACCCCAAGCCGGAAAACACCAAAAGAAGCACAACTATTCCGCCCTAAATCCCGTAAGCCCTCAATCGTGGTTTCGTGGCCTTTCCAAACCCGAGAGTTTGCAGGTGGCCATCAGCAAGCTCGGCCGAGAGCAGCGATGGCAGGACGCCCTCGACACCTTCGAGGCAGTGAGCTTGGGGTTGCGAGCTTGGGGTTGAGGGCTTGGGGTTTCGAGGTCTCGTTTCAGGGACTTTTGGGGCTGGACGATTTACGACTCTGGGGTTCACGGAAACAGGGTTTACCGGGTGTTGCGGTTTGAAGTTTGGGTTTCCATGTTTGGGGTCTGCGGTTTAGGATTCGGGTTTCGGGGCGCAGGGACAGGCTGTGTTTTTGTTACAGTTGATTCGTCGAGGCGGACATGCCAAGCAATCATCCCCAAACCCTGCGTTCATGTTCCATTGCATCTGCTGCCATGGGGGAGGGCCTCAAGATTGTGAAGCTGGAGCCCGACACCATTCTTCGGAATGCCGCTCCTGGACGGAGATGGGTTTAGAGTTTGGGATCGGGGGTTGGGTGGCGGGGCTTGGCGTTTGGGGTTTACTTTTTGGGGTGTAGGGCTAGGGTTTATGATTTGGGTTTGCGGCCTGTTGAAAATCATCAAATCCATTCAGGTTCCTTTCACCAAAAAAAGAAATTTTGTGTTTCTGATTTTGGAGTTTGATGCTTCGAGAAAGCAGGGCATAAAGGATCCAATGTACGCCTTCTCACAGCAGAGGATTGGGAGGGAAGGTTTAGGATTCCTTCCAGGGTTCCTCTCATGGATCTACGGGGGGTTTGATAAGGAGTTAAGGGTTTAGGGCGCTTGTTTGGTATCTGGCATTGAAGATTTTCTGATCATGGTCAACAAAGGATCTCGTGTTATGCGTCTTGTCAACGAGGTCATAGGAACTTACAGATAAGACCCACCATTTTGCAAGAAGCCTAAATGCAATGCTCAAACCCTAAACTGCAAATCCTATGAGCCCTAAACCCTGCAAGCCTCATATCCTGCACCCCACACACCCTCGGCCCTTAGCCCTGCATGAACCCTAAAGTTCCTGAAGTCCTAAGAAGAAGCACCACGAGAAAGCCCACCCGTGCACGATCCCTTCGCTGGAAGCGTTCAGCCAAGGTTCTATCGGCTGCCGAGAAGGCAGGGCTTGGCCGTGGAGTTCAGTTGTTTCTTGGGTTAGTATTTTTGTAAGGGTTCACCCTTCCTCAAAAAAAAGCAGGTATCTAAACGTAAGCACTTCTGTTTGAGAAACCCATGAATCCCTATAATGCCTGGATACAACCCTCTCAAGCCTCTTCTTCCAGCCGAAAAATTTCGGAGGCGTCAAAATGGATGCAGGTCTTGGAGCTCTTCCGATCTGACGTGGCCTTGGATTGGAGTGCTTTTTGGGCTTCAGGGCCGGGGGTTTTAAAAGACTCCTTTAAAGATCATGCTCTGAGGGTTCTACATGGGATCCTACAGCTAGTATGGGGGTTTAGGGCTTTAGGGTTTCGGGTTTCAGAGGAGAGCACTAAGCATTTCGGGATCGAGTGATTCAGAGTTTGGAGGCCCTTTCGGGCTTTTGGAGCTGTGATTTCCGGCTTCCGTGTCCTAGCGTCTAGAATTGTAGGTATGTGTTTATGGATATACGTGTGAGTGTTAGTTAGCTCCAGGAGCATCAAGGGTTTCAATTCGGATTTTCAGTTGAGTGATTGTGTGGTGGTGAAGAGAGATGGATGTATTGGGCCCCTGGCCAGTGTGTTTGCTGATGGGCACTTGTTTGGGAGATTGACATCTTCGAGATTTTTGAAGGAGTAGCATAAGATCTCCTGTTGGAAGCCGTTCTCATATACAGCTGGCAGATTTCACTCCCGATTGCTTCGACCTCAAAGCCCAAAGAGTCGGCTTCTCCAAATGTCACCAAGCCAGAGGCATTCCCCTTTTGTGCCATGCCACTTGTAGGCTGTAGCTTCTCGGCTTCGGGGCTACGCCCTGTCCTGTTTATGGACCTTGTTCAGGAGTCCCTACTGCGTGTTTTGGCCCCTTTGGCCCCCTTTTTGTTTTGGGGTACGAACTAACAAGCCGCTGGTTGTTCCTTCAGTGTTTGCTGCTGCGCATGCACCGACTTGTAACAATTGAAGTCAGAGGCTTGGCTTCCTTGTCCGGTCTTCTTGTGTTCCGCGTTTCCCGGCCGGCCCTCTCTCCACAGCGTATCTGGCTTGAAGGGTTTCTGGGCTTACAGTTTACGGGCCATTCGTGTAGGGTTCGGCACGGTACTTTACAAGTCTTCCGATTCAGATTTAAGCATGGGGCTTAACCCGTAAGCCCTGACCCCGGGCTGCAGCCCCAATCTGCCCAGGGCAGAAGCGACGGCTACCCTGCAGATGCTTACACCTTCACCTGCTGCAGCAACCTCAGATGCTTGAATCTTCTGGAGATGTTGGGCGCTGCTGGAATGAATGGAAAGCTCGAGTTTTACAGTTCTATCTGGTTTGTTTCTGGCTCATGAGAACAGTTCGGAGTGTCGGTGCCCACATCATGTAAACCCTACTTATTTGAGAAACCTCTCAATCCTAAACCCTTGTTTATTTCTGTACAACCATAAAATATGATATATACTAATACTATATTCCTATTTTGAAAACATTTTATGTATTTCTCATGAATTAGTTTATGTATTGTTTGAGATGTTATGATATCTTACATAATGAACAATGTTTTTCGATTGTTTTTCATTTCGAAAAAGTTTCAGAGGAAAGATGAGATGTCTTGAAAAGGGTGAAATTTAAGATATAGGTGTTTAGACTATTAAGAAAACAGAAGTCATTTTCATATCTATTTGATCATTTACGCAAATTCTTGTTAGATTCGATATGGTTTCATATATGTGCGTATATGAGTTTGGAAAAATTCTCAGTCCTGTCTCAAGAAATAATTCAAAATAGGATTCTATAGATGAGTAGTCTTACCTTTTCTAGATGACTCCTGTCTCGCCCTCTGGCCTATTAAGAAGATCTGCTTCGCATAGCTCTGGAAAAGAGAAGCTTGGAGTAAGTAGATTGGTACATGACGGTTCATTCGTGGTCGGGGCGGGTCTATTGGACGAATTGGTGAGGGATGAAAAGATTTTATTGGAGCGTTTGTAGGAGTAGTAGGCATTCGAGTTGGATAAGAGCTAAGATTGATTGGCGAAGAATGAGAAATATCGAAACAAAAAGAAGCAAGAAAAGAACGAAGGTCGAGGTAAGAAATCAGCATCCTGAGAAGGACAAAGCAAATCCGAAAAAGGCAAGCAAAGCAGATAAATTGAGAGCTTTCACAATATTAAAATAATGATTCCAAGCGCAGGTATTCGTTTTCGGAGTCCCGCTCGAATTCTTGTTTACTGCTCCGGGGGGAGCCGGGCCTTCGAAGGAGGATGGCACGACTTGTAGCGGGACCTTTGATACGCGAGACGCTTCGAATAATGAAGGACACGACTCATGTTGATACCTCTTTATGAAAGCTATTTCTTCGTGTTTTCAAGGATCTGCTCAAAGCCCTATGTATATGTATATGTATATGTATATCTATATCTATATGTGCATGTATATGTATATGTCTATGTCTATGTATATGTATATGTATATGTATATGTATATGTATATGTGTATACACCTATATATGTATACACATGTCCCACGATACGGACTCGGGAAGGTCTCGGCGCTTTGGGAAAAGCATCCAGCCAGGGGCCTCGGGGCGTTCGTTTTGAGTCTTGAGGTGGCTTTCTCTTTCTTTCTGTCTTTCTTTCCTGTCTACCTCTGAATAAATGTTGCCGTAGAGGGAATTCCTGGGTTTCGTAAGGTTCCGTGCGGTTTCTGCTTTTGTAGGGAGTCTGCAGGATTTCTAGATGCGTTTTGAAATGTTCTAGGTGTGCGCACGGCATCCACGGAATCGAGTCAGCAAGCTCTGAGCATCTTCGCGGTTTGGGATGCAGTTTATCATTTAGGAGAGGTTCAGGGTGTGCGGCTTAGAGCGTTTGGGGGTGTGCCTCGAAAGCCCACAGCCCACCGCCTCCTCCCCACAATAGAAGAAAGAGGATCTGAAGAAGTCGCCACGGGTGCTAGGGTACGTGTCATGGCACATAGGATTTCACTGGGCATACTGTTACTGTTAGTGATGAGCGTTAAAGTTTTAATTCGCAAAACTCTGCAAAGCCCGATTCTTACACGCGGAAGTTGTTTCCCCATCCTTAACTACCCCCACCCCATTCACCCTTGCCCACGAACCAATGCTAGGGATCCTTGCACCTTGTGGGCACGTGACATGCGGGTTTTGCTGTGTGCAAGGATGGGAGGCAGCTCTGCAGATGTTTGCCGAAATGAGGCCGGTTCTGCCAAGCACGGGAGGGAGGAGAAGAGCCTGAAGAAGTCGAGTAGTCTGTGTAGCATTTCAGGCGTACGATTTGTCAAGGGAGCATTAATGCCAAATTTCAACCGTTTATGGTTTGGAGTTTAGACGTCGGAGTGGTTCAGGGTGTAGGGGCTTCCCTGAAAAACTCTGCTTCGTAGGAAGCTCGCCTGAGTGGATACAGTGGTCCAAGATCGCCTAGGTCCGTTCGCATGAAACCGAAGCAGAAGAATCGAACTCCCCCTAACGAAACTTGCTCAAACCGGAAGCCTGAGCCCCAAACTGCCCTAAACCCTCTTGGACCCTGATGTAGAGATCTAACCATCAAGGCTCCCAGAGCCGTGGCTCGGAAATGCCCGGGATGTCCCGGCATTATACAGTGTATATCGTACAACACAGTCAGTATAGTATGGAATTATGGTATGCTAAAGGGACATATGGTAGAGTATAATTTAGCCGAGTATAGTATAGTACACCCCAAAGCTTTCGCTCCCGAGCCCCGGTTTCCCATGTCTTTCGGCCCCTGAACACAGGCGCGGCGGCGCGGTGCCCAGCGTTGTCACCTGCAACGCTGCCTTGGCTGCTCTGGGCAAGGGCCAGCGCTGGGCCCTTCGGCGAAGATCTTTTGAGTCTTTGGGTTTAGTTTCTAATGCCTTCCTTTACTGGAGGCCCGCGGAGAACAAAGTTTTGGGGCTTAGGGCTCAGGGCCTGTGTTCCTTATATTAAGGGCTTGTATCTTTTCGGGTTTCGGATTTCGGACCTGCTTACACTGTACGGTTTGGAGTTTGAGGTTTTGGATTAAGGCTTCCCGGTTCGGGTTGTTTGGGGTTTGTGGCTTAAGATTATCGTTGTCTAGCTGTCATTGCTGCATGGTAACAGTAAGCCCACAGCCCTAAACCCTAAATCACAACTCCCAAATTCTCAGACTGGTGGGTTTGAGCGGTTGGAGTTCCGGCTGTGAGAGCCCGTAGCATCGCACCCCAGGCTTTTGGATTTGATGGTTGCGGGGGTTCCCTCGTATTTCAAGCATATTCAGTAGAGTCGTACCTAGGAAGCGGCTTTCGGGCTTGAGGAGTGTATGGAGGGAGGACTTTGGGAGTTCAAGGGTTTCTGGTGCAAGGCTCAGAGTCTTTATCACAGACAAGTTCCATCTCGGAACCCCGAGCATCACACCCAAGAGGACAAGGAGAAGCTGCAGGTGATACAGGCGATCCCGCTTCAGCAGCGACAGGGCCAAGCTCGGATTCTGAGCGAACTCATGGCCTCCTTCGAGTCCCACCTGAGCGAAGCCAGCTTCATAGAGCCAATATTGAGACTGGCAACAACACCACTTAATTAGTTTTTGCAACTCAGAAATGCGGCAGTAATGATCATGATAGCAGTGATACTCATTGAAACAGCAAAAGTGATGGTGCCCATCGCAGTAGCAGTGGTATCAGTGGGATCAATCATCGAACCGCAGCATCTGCGAGTTGGAAGTAGTAGAACCATCAGTAGTATTCGCAGAGAAGCGGGCGTAGTAGCTGTGATCACCATCGCCCTCATCGGCAAAACCGTGGTCAAGGATCTTTGCCATGTAGGCCTCTAAGCTGATCTCCGACCGTAACTATCTCACTTCACAACATATCCAAAGCCCCCACCCTCAACTCCAGTATACGTCTAGAATGGCAGGTGTGACGCCTGAACAGCCTCCATGCGCACTCCTCTGAACCAAAGTAGAAGTCAATATGGGTTCCAATGTAGACGACTGTCGTTCAGAACATGGACCATGTTCAGAATGACAGTCGTCTACAATGGAGGCAATTTGTCCCATGCTAGGGCCCCAGAGCGGGAGTGGAGTAACAAGCGGTGGCAGCTTCGCGTCTTCTTCGATTTGGAGTTTCGGGCTCGGGCTGTCGGGTGGCTTGGGGTTTTTGCTTCAGGATTTGGGCTCGGGGTTTGGGATTCAGAGTTTTGGCGAAGTTGGCTGAGGACTTGGCAGTGGAGCTTCTCCGAGAAATGAGGCAGGACAGCCGTAACCTAAACCCTAAACCCTAAACCCATAAGCCCGCTGCCCCCTTCAGTTCAGGGCTGCGGGTCCAAAGTTTAGGGTTTACTGCGACTAACCCAGAAAGCTTTACCCAACAGGCAACTTTTATTCGGTTTCTGTTTGCTGTGGGTTTTTTAGGCTTTAGAGTTAGAGGTTCAAGGAAGACTTTTTCGTTGTACAACTATTCTGGGGCCAGCAGGGGCCGTACGGAGGCTGCCGTGCCTTACCAAGACAAACTTATCCGATGTGCCCATATGGGTGGTTGGCAAGATTATTGTCCCTTTTTGGGTCGTTAATAAGTACGGCACCTAATATTTAGGGTACCAAAAAGGAACCATAATTTTGACAACTACCCATATCGCGAAGCATCTATGAAGGCTGAAGTACCTTGAGACCTTGCCACAAAGTCTGGACTTTGAGCCGGGAGTCCAAACCCTCAACCCCTACACCTCGAAACCCTCAAACCCAAACCGCCAACCTTACACAAAACCCTACACCTCAAACCCAATGCCCTTAAATGCTGAAAACCTAAATCCTAGAACCCCGAATGCCCTTAGCTGCAGGGTTTAAAGCTTAAATACCAATGTAGAGGTCTTGCATCCCATTATGTACAGTCCCTATATCACTCTGTAACAATACATGAGCCAGTTTGGGAGCCTCACATCTCCCTGTGCAAGCCTTGCGCAGATCCCCCAACCTCAAACCCAAGCAAAACCCTAAACCTTATAAGACCGCAATGACACCCTGCGACAATTGCAGAAAGCCGAAACCCTCAACTCCAAACCCTTAAACCCCCAAGACCCTCAACCCTAAAAGCCCTAAACCCTACAGCCCCAACGGCATCAAGAGGTCGGGGAGGGCCGATCTTCCTTGTCCAGACACTGTGTCCTTCAACACGGCCCCGCCCGCGTGTTTGTGGTGGTGGGCGGGGGTCGGAGTGGGTCATGGTGCAGGGTTCTGGGTTCAGGGGTCGACTCAATGGAGCCAGGACCAAATTGGACATGAAGAGATGTTATTTCCAAAGTTTACGTGTAGGTGAATGTCCGTGACTTCTAGGAGCATTTGGGCTTTGTGCATCCGTGTTTCATGAGGCTCGGGTTTAGGCCTTAGGGTTTAGGGCTTGGTTTTAGACTCAGAGTTTAGCGAAAATCGGGCTTCTGGTGGTTCGTGGTGGATTCTGAAGGCTTCATGAAGCTCGGGAGGCATTGGGCAGCCGCATGTGTGGGTCGGACGGAGTTAGGAACTGGGACTTATGAGGCTGTCCACCAAATCCCAAGTCAAGCCTGAGTTGTTGCGGTTTAGGGTCTGGCTCATTCATGTGATATTAAGACATATCGGGTGGGGCGTCCTATGCCATGGTCCCCAAAGTCTCAACTCTCAGTAATTACTAAAACCACAGCCCTTGACAGTGACAGGCCGCAGCCGCAATGATCGAAGGCGGGCGTGGAAAGCTCAGCCCGAGACTATTCCTGGGTTTCGCTTTTGGTTTTTGCACTGCAATCCTGGCTGGAGGACTCTAGAACTTTGGTGCATGGTTCCATAAGATGCCACCACGCCACAGGCGCCAAGAAATTCACTTCCTTCATACATCAAGAGTCCGAAACCCCTAACTCTAAAGCCTGAAGCCCTAAACCTTCGAACCCTAAACCCTGTGCCCCAAGTCCCAAACCCTAAGCCTCAACACTTACTTATCTATTAAGGAAGCCAATAGCACAACAGGTTCTCGGATGCTCGAGAAGCCTGGAAATGAGAAAGTCACACATTACGTTGTTACTGTAGGTTTCTTCGGAGACTTGGAACCACCCAGCCAGTAAGATGTCACCCCAATCGTCCGTCACATCTGAGCTGCGCGGCGTTCGAGTTTTGTTGATTTTTCGCGTGTTGTCCAGCTGACATAGCCCCTACATTTCTGAGGCAACAGTGCTTTGTACAGTGGTTGCATTGCAATATTTTGAGAGAGAATAGTTGCTAGGAAGCACCATGAAGCCGCACAACCCCAGAACCCAGACCCTAGGCCCCAACCCCACACCCTGAAACCCCAACCCCCAAGCCCTAAACCCCAACCCTGGCCCCATTACGTATAGTCCAAGCCCCTTATCAACTCCCGGAAACAACCTGTACCAAACTTATGTCAGAGCCTGTAACACCCTTATGATCCGTGTTTGACTACGAATGCCATAAAACCCCTATCAGCAAGAAGCCAAGCCCTCAACTGCTCCCTATACCCTTATACAAGCCCGGTGAAACAGCATAAACCCCTGAACCCATAAACCCTAAACTCCTGTCCCCTACATGCCTGCACCCCGAGGCTGGCGAAGCGCGGTTGAGGTCTGCGCGCTTCTTCAGCTCGAAGGCCCGTTTTAGGGTTGTTGGGTTTAGGGTTGTAGTTTAGGGTTTAAGGTTTCAGGGTTTAGGGCCCCAGGGTGTCTTGTGAAGACCTTAAGATGCCAGGTTGCCGGCACACACCCCAAGCCCGTGCTGAAAAAACGGGGCCCCAGGGTGAGCTGTTCGTGTCCGAGCGATGTACTTTCTTTGTCTGTTGTCAAGAAGCTTTGGCGTTCATGCTGGCTTTATCCGGATTTTCGAAGGTTTAGGGTTTAGGATTTTCGAAGCCTTGTTAAAGAACTTAGAGGTTCATGTTTTTCGAAAGGCTTGTTTAAAGCTTTGCATATGGGGAATAGAGGGCTCTTGTTGCGGCCCTGGTTCTAAGTACCACTGGACCGCAACAAGGACAGTGCAGCAGAAACGACTTCTCCCTGTGACTGAATGAAGTATCTGCGATAACAAAGGGACCTAAATAATTACCAATGCTATTTTGGGGGTTCCCTATGATAACTATAGTATTATAAGATACCCCAACACTCTGTTCTACTGGTCATTAAAACATGACTCTATGTTGCGAGATATTGAAGACGTATTGTCAAAGCTAGCCTAGCCTGCTGTAGCTCATAAGCAGCTACACATTCTATGGATGCACAAGTCATCTAAAGCTTCGTTCGCCCCAGACGTATGTCCGATCCACCCCAAGACTCGATTCTACTTATTACGGCCCCTATGGTATGATGTATGGTCCGCGTTGGATTTTGGTTCTTAGGCCTAGGACTGCGGGCCACGTTTTGGGTTCCTGGGCCGGGTCTGGGGTTGGTGTCAGGTTTAATGCACAGGGTCCTTCTAGGGATTGAGGCGATCGTGTTTAGGGCTCTTTGACACAAACACGTGCCCACCAAGCAACAGCAGGAAAGCACCTAAACCACAGAGAAGGGTTCTTCCGAGTCAAAGTCCGCTCCAAGGTCTCGAAGATGACCCTGCCATCAGCAGCCCCCAGCTCAAGAAAACCCTTTCAAGACGACCTCGACAGGCTTGCAAGCTGATCCCGTGACCCACAATATTCTCGTTAGCAGCTGCCCCAGCCCCAGATCTCAGTTAGGGTGTGGGGCTTTAAGAGTTAGGTTTTGGAGTGTTTGCGGGTTGAAAGCGGAGGAGCTGGTTGGGGAAGTCAAGGGCCTCGGGTTCAGGGCTCCAAAGCTAGGCCCCAAATTTGGATAAGGGCTAAGGGTTTGGGGTTTTATGGTCCCCTTGTACTTACACTGACTAGTTATAGTCTATAGTTATACTGTAATATCCCCCACACTCTAGATGCACCAGATTTCTCAGTATGGCCCCTCCATTAAGGCAAGCCCGGTGGACGATGGGAAGCCGCCCTGTGGCTACTTTCAGCCCGGAGGAGGGGCTGAGCGCTGGGGCTTTAGGAATTCTCGGCTTAGGGATTCAGGGATTTAGGGGTGAGCGCAGGGTTAGTTTTTAGGTTTTTGGAATTTTCGGTTTAGGGGTTTGCATCTCAGGATTTGTGGTTTCGGGGTTCAGGATCTGTAGGTGTTGAGGTCAGGATCTGTAGGAATGGGGGCTTAAAACTTTGGGGTATACGGGTTTAAGGTGATTTAAGTATTGGTGCAGGACTTTCCGGGTTGGGTAGTGCAATATTGGGCAGGGTTTCGGGCTTCGTGGCTTTGGGTGTTCAGACAGAGGACTATGCCATCCTTTCTGTGGAGCAGAGAAAGACAGACCAGAAGCCTGAACGCCCTGAACCTCAAAACGGCAAACCCCTGCCCCCAAACCCTTTTTTAGGCCCTGCAATTCCTGATTCCTGAACAAGCACATAACTCACAACATTTAAAGAAGCCTAAGCAACAACGCTAAACACACTAAGTAACCATGAACACGGCTTTCGTTTACGTTCGAGGCCGCAGGTTGAGACCGTGACTTCAGCGATCGACACGCTGGCCGCCTGCAGCCTCTGGGAGCACGCCCGCGGCTTGGGATTCTGAGGAACTTGGGAAGGGGTCGATATAATTCTGCAACCCCCGAACCCTAAAGCCTCAGACCCCTAACCCTAAAACCCTGAACCTTATCAGTCGAGGTTCGCCTTGTGGGAGGTCAAGGGCAGATGGTTTCGGGTATTTAGGATGTAATATTTGCGGCATGTGCTCCGTAGAGTTGTTTGGTTGAAGGTTTAGGTTGTTTGAGTCCTTGGGTTTGGGCTTTAGGATCTATAGGGTCTACGGGTTGCAGTTGCGGAAGGCATGAGAGCAACTTGGAAGGGCCACCCACTCTCATGTGTGAGAAGCAGAGCCCACAGACAAAAGGCTTCTTCAGGCGTTTCTGCATCCTCGGTCCCCAGACCGCAACATTGTTGAAGTCCCAAGCTTACGCCTTCGAGCCCCAAGCTCGAAACCCCCGAGCCCTCAACCCCAAACCCAAAGCCCCAAAGCGAAGCTGGCTACCATAGTGTGCCCAAGGCCTTCGTTCTCTTGTGCAACATGCCTCCTGGACTTAGGCAGGCTTTGTGTCATCAGAGTCAAGCGATCACGTCTGTAGTGTAATGTGTATAATGCAATTCCGTACCGTGCGGTGCAGTGGAATGCAACGGAATGGAATGCAATGCAATCGGATCCAATGGAATTGAATGTAATGCAATAGAATCGGGGGCAACACCACATAATGCAACACAATGCACTGCACAGTACTAGTACGGTATCGTACCGTGTTGATGTGCTGTACTGTGCTGCACGGTAATGCGACGCATCGTCAAGTACGGTACTGTATTGTGCTGCACTGCACTGTGCTGCCTTGCACCGCCCGGCAATTGACTGCACCACAATGCACCACACACCCCTAAATACACAGCACTGCCCTACTGCAGCGCCATGCAATGTAGTGCAATGTGTATAATACAAATTCAACAGAACGTATGCAATGTAATGCAGTGTAAGGCTATCTAATGCAGTTCTAATGCAATGTAATTCAATGTAATGCAAGCAATGCCATGCAATGCATTGCCAGGCAATGGAACTTAATGTATGCAAGGTCATGTAACATATTGTAGCATGTACACATGGGTGCATGGCTGCCTGCTTGCTTGCATGCATTCATGCATGGATGGATAGGTGTATGTAACATGTATGTATGCACGCGCGTATGTTATGTATTGTATGTACACATTTATTCATGAAAGCATGCAGGAATGTAAGTATGCATCATGCATGCACGCATGTAAGCATGTGTTGATTCATTCATTGATATTTGTTTGCTCTGTTTGGGGTGCTCTTGCTGCTTGTATGATTTATTGAAATAAGAAAATGCAGGCACTTGGTCCTAGGCGTGTTGGGAAAGCTCTGAACGCGAGTTCCAATACTGATTACAGAAGGTTTCTTCCACATCATAAAATTAGCATCCTCCCGTTCAGTTCAGTTTTAGACAATGGAGTCCCGCGCTTCCTTAAAGCTCAAAGCCTGGCTGGCTAGCTGCATTTCTGTTTTTGCAGGGTGTGGGGTTCAAGGTTTTGGTGTAGATGTCGTCATGGGTCAATGGGTTCAAGGATTTGGGAGATGATAGTTTGGAGTCTAATGCTTCCGGGGTTCAGGGATTAGGGATTCATCATCATCATCATCATATATATATATATGTATATATATATATATGTATAGATATATATATATATATATATATATGTATCGTCCGGGTTGCATCATGTGGTGCCGGCTTACCGCGCATTGCATCCAACATCGCCTCACCACAACAGAAGCTAACGGCACAAGGCTTTTCAGGTCCTGGGCGTGAGGGTAAATTCAACTTTTCAGTCAGTCTTTGTTTGGGTGAAGCACCAAACTTTCGGACTCGAGTACATGATGTGGGCAGTCCTTAGATCCATCATCCCCGAATGCTCCTCAATTCTGAGCCCACATACCTGCAGGCCGAATGTGATGACATTTGGGGCCACAGCCCCAGGGGATCCAATGGCACCACTGGCATACTCGCGGTTGCCTAAAGATTGGAAATTCTGATAGCAAGAAAGGTGATCGAACTCAAGCCCAGTAGTCAGCAGCAGCATTTTGACCTCAGTCAACTCAGACTATCACCAGTAGCACCTCAAAGCCCCAAACTTCTGATTCGAAAAACGAAACTCCAAAACCCGACAACCCCAAACCTTCATACTACCATCGGTAGGACTTCATGCAGTCATCTGGAAGCTAAAACGAACTCAGGTCCTCGCTATGAGGGCTAGGTTCGCTTCCTAAAGTGGCCGGAGTGATGAATAATAGTATCCGCTGATGGGCTTTAGACTGTAGTAATACGTAGTATCTCTGGGGTTTAGTACGGCTTGGGGTTTATACTATCATCCTTCAGGGTTCCCGGCTTAAAAAACAGGGCTTAAGGCTTGTTTAAGTAGGATGCCTTTTTTGGGTTTACAGTAGGGTGTAATAGCCGTATCACCCTATCCCTCGTTTAGCTCATATCCATGCGCATAAAGCGTGGACCCTGAAGTATGCGGGCTAAGTTCAGACCTTGGCGCTGTGTTTAGGGTCTTGGGTTTGGGCCAGAGTTTTATGCATCCAACCCCCGCAACCCGGCCTACTTTAGACTCGGTGCAAGAGCGTCGGTGGAGAAGTTGGTGTTGCCTGGCAGGAACCGAGATTTCGAAAGGAGCGCTGAAAGGTTCAGTCTACTGAAGTTTAGGGCTACAGGGTTGTACAGTATTACGACTCAAGGTGTCAGGGTTTTGGGTTTGAGGTGTCGACGGTTTTACGGTGTAGGGTTCCTGGACTGCTTGGGATCCGTGTTTTGGCCATAGGTTTTCCTTGTACAGCAGAAGGCTCTCAGGATTCAGGGTTTGTCTGTTTTCTTTCTAGCCTTCACGGTCCTGCCCCAAACCGTGAACCCATATCCTAAACCCTAAACGCCAGGCCGTTTAGTATTTTGAGCCCCCCACAACCGTTCAAGTGAATTCTAAACTAGGTTCGCGTCAACGAAGTTAGTTTGCAAGTCAGCAGAAAGACAGCGTTGTGACATTATAAATCCTGTGCAACTGTTTATGGCAAGTTAACTTAAGCTTGGAAAGCAAGCTTGCTTGCCTGGCCCAGGCAGCTATGAACGCCCTGGCGCGAGGAGCAGCGCCTGGAGCTAAGAGGGAGTGCTTGGGGTTCAGGTTTAGGGCCGAGGCTTTGGAGCTCAAGAGGCTCTTGTCTTAGAGTATACAGCTTGGGGGGGATGGTTTGGATGTGAGGGTTCAGGGCTTTGGGGTTTCACTGTGGTGTTGGAGCTTCAGAGTTCGAGGGTATTTCGGGCCTGGTCGCCCGCCCTGGGTGGGTGTCCATGCGCTATGGGTTATGGGGTTTAAGCTTGGTGTGTGTAGAGATCACCGAAACCCTGAACCCAAGGTACCGCGGAGGGGGGGGGGGGGGGGGGGCGGACTTTTCGCAAGTATGTATTGGCGGGTGTCCGGTCTAGGTTCTCTGGCTTTATTAGCAGAGGATGTAGGGCCTAGGGGACAGTATCCCTTGGGGCCGGCAGCAACCTTTTGTGTCAGCTGCAAACCAAGACGTGGTTGAAGATGTCCGCAGCCCTAGACCCTGAATGCACAACCTGGGTCCTCCATTCCGGGATGAAGACCCCTGCACGCCGCAAAAATGCAACACACTCGGAACCCGGACTGCTCTCAAAACAAACGCAGCCCGACCGCCTACCATGGGGATAAAGTTCGGGGTTTAGCTTTTTGGAGGGTGAGCTGAGGGCTTGCGGTGTGGGACGTGTGTGCGCGACAAGGTGGCTTTTTGCCGTCCAACTCCTCCAGGTCATGGACGAGCAAACAGCGGCGGGGCCCAATTTCATGGTACAGCCGATTGGGGCTCGATGGGTTTAGGATGGATGGTTTTTGCTTCCTTTCAGTCCAGCAAGCACCGCATGCTAAACCTTTGCGCAACATTCCAAAAACCAAGAGTGCTGGCAGGAGTAATTGACTTAGGGCTTCTTGTAAGCCGCTTATTTCAATGGGAGTCTCCGCGAGGACTGCGACAGGGATCATGATGTAGAGCACCATACTGTAAGCCAGTACGCCTCAAATATGACGGATGCTGTGTCTCAGGTTCATATTTGGGTCCCCTGCTTTGGAGCTCCCATGGAAGGCCAACCAAAGAACCTTCAGATAGAGCATCACAATGTATCCCTAGTTGACTTCGTTGGACTTCAGAGGAGAAATGCCCCCTGATGCTGGGTATAGGGTGAGATTGTTTCCGCCTTTTTCGGATGTCAGGCTTTGTGGTTGGGTGTTTGGGCCTCAGGGCTTCCGTTGGAGAGGGGGGACCTCGGGATGATCTGGGTGCCTCATCCGAAGACGCGGGGGGGAACAAGGTTGCTTGCACACCCATTCGAGGCACCCAGCCAGCATTACTTGAGGGCGCAGGGAATCGGAATCGTTTTGGCATCTTTCCTCCTGAACCCTGAAGCCTGAACCCTGAACCTTACGGCCCAAGCCCTGAGCCCCAACCCATGCCGCAGTTGCCCAGGTCATCCGGAATGCCGTAGTGTGCTCGTGCGCCATCGCCGCATGCGATGAAGCGGAGGACCCATTATGAACCACGTAAAGCGGCAATGACCAGAAAACGTCGCTTAAGGGTTATCTGCTGGGTCTCGAGTGCTTACCTTGAAGAAGAAGAACCAAGCTGCTATACGAAATTGCCACCGGACGCTCGATAAAACCTCTGGACATTAATCCCCGAGCAGACGTTGTGTTGTGTACAAAATGTCGGAATCTTTAGACTTTAGCCTCTTTCTTTCATTCTTTCTTTCAGCGTCTCTCTGTTTCTCGTTCTATTCTTCCGTTCATGTTCTTAAGCACTGCAATCCGGGACCCAAAATCTTCAGCTACAGGCAGATGGACAGAGAGCTCTAGAAGCCCCAAGCTCCCCAAACCCTAAGCCCTAAGCCACAAAACCGTTAACTCCGAACTCCCCAAACCCCGAGCCTTAAGCCCCAAAACCCCTAAGTCTGAACTCCCCAAGCCCCAAGCCCCTGTCTCCAGGAGTGGCAGCAGTCGCTGGCCATCTTACTGGAGATGCTTCAGGCAACTTGCCCGGCCCAACAAGAAGCTTAGGTTTAGGGTTCAGGGTTTAGGGTTTAGGGACTTGGATTTAGGTTTGGGTTTGTGCTTTCGTTTCTCGTTTTTCCGGTTTTGTTGCTAGGTGGCTTGGGCTCACGGCATGGCGTTCCATGGGTTCCGTGGTTTGTTGGGTTTGGGGTGTTTAGGGTTTTCGCAGTTTTGCGGCTTCCCGTGTTGAGGGCTTTGGGGTTTGGTAGGTTGGGGTCGCGGAGAAGGGGATTCGGGTCGAAGATGCTTCGGGGTTTCGGATCTATTTAGGGTTTCGTGATGATGTGATGAATGAAGGCTCAAATCACTTCCCCGTGACTTCACAGTAATCGCAGAAACCCAGGAGCACCTTTAACCTGTAAGACCAAAACCCTGAATCACGAAAGCTTAAGTTCTCAATCCCAGACAACCCCAAAACAGCTTCAACCCCCACAAGTCTCCGAAACCCTCAACCCAACCCAACATCTGATATTGTAGACATCCATTTGGCAAGACATTCTCATTTTGAAGTCGCTCGGAATAAGCCCGAAACCGAGACCCTAAATCAAAAAAGAAGAGGCGAAGAGCCACCCTATTTAAACCCTAATATGCCCTAAGAGCGAAGAGCCAGGTAGGGCCCCGCCCCAATCTGATCGCCTTCAACTCAGCGATCGTCGCTTGTGCCCATGGTCGCCTCGCACTGAGCCGAGAAGTTTGGGGCTCAGGGTTAGGGTTTAGGATTTAGGGTTTGGGTGGGGGTGGGGGGAGGGGGGGTTTAGGTTTAAGTTAGGTTTGAGAAGTTTAAGGTTTAGAGAGCTTGGGCTTAGGGGCTTTCGGGGTTTCACCCCACAGGATGCTTCTTTGCAGTAGTCAGCTGAAATTCCGAAATCGTCCTTCGCTGCCGCATGAAGGCCCTTAACAAAAAGAGGCATCGGGCATCTTTAGAGCCTTATTACAAAAACCACGAAGTTCATAGAACCCTTGCAGAACCCAAAGCTCAGAGATGAACTTACCCGCCGCAAACAGCGGAGTACCCTTATAGAAGCCTGCGCCCAAAAGCCTATAAGCCAGTTTTAGGTCCCTATAGAACCCTTAGCGAACCCTGACCGAACCCTTTTGTGGGACTCAGTGTCCTCTGAGGCCAGTGGTATGCAGCTGTCCAGCTCTTCCGAAAGCTCCGAAGCAGTTGCGAGCAGCTGGGCACAGACTGGATAACACCGCGCTCCGAGTCCAAAACCTGACGATGATTACAAGAAGCACTCCTTACAGAAGGCATATCGGGCTCTCTCTTACTCCGTCTCCGCAGCCAAGGCCCGATGTCGTATCCGTCAGCTCCGCACGGGGTCCCAGCGAGAGGAGCGGTTTCGGGACTTGGGTAACTTGCCGGAGGTGGAGGGGGGTGGGGTGTGTGGTGTGCGTTTTTGTTTCTGTCGAGCTGTGGCTTGGCATCTCAGGTGGTTGTGATTTGTAGGTCCCGGGACTAGGCTTGGGGCCTTGCAGGATTGCCATGAAAACTGATGCCCTAAAGCCCGAAGCTCAAAACCCTGAACATTGCAAACCCTGAACCTCAACGCCCTTAAAACCCACAAAGCCGTACGTGTACCGCACTGGCATCATCGTCATCATCATCATCATTTCACTCTTCTCATCTTTTGTTTCGTATTCTTCTTCCTCTCCTCACGTCAACATCAGCACCGCCATCCTCCTTGAAGTTTTCTCCTCCAGCATCATCACTCCCCCCCCCCGACTCTGCGAATAGTCGGATCGGATTCGGGATCAGCTTCTGGAAAAACCTGCAAACCCCACATCCTGAAAAACCGAGTTCTATACGGCAAGTGTCACAATAGGATTTACGGGAGACTGCTTGGGGCAACTTAGGAAAATTGGTTCGGGTGTTATTAAGTGGATTTGAACCCATGTCGGCCCTAAGCCTTGAACCCCACACCCTCAACTCTAAACCGGAAAAGCCTGAACCCGGAGGACCCTTAACCTGCACAGTGCATGCTAAGCGCTTGCCTCTGTAATCCTGTGAATACTAAACTTGATGGCTAGAGACCCATAAAGCATACTTCAAACCTAACCTCCTGCAGAGGTATTACTGGAATCTTCAAAAGTTTAAGTTGAAGAATCGCCTTCGCAGCATGGCCTCAACCCTTAGGCTCCACATCCGATGCCTCAGAGCCTGAAGCTCCAAACTCCAACCCTAAACCTAAACCCGGAACCAGTGCTTGTTTGTTGTTGCAGTGCTTGCTTTATGTTGTGTTTTTGCCGTCGTTGCGCGGACCCGGGAAGCCAGTGAGTGAGGGAACCCCGGCCCGGCACGACAGCAACAAAAACGCGCCCCGGGGACGACAGCAACAACGCAACGACAGCAAACAAAAAGTTTCTTGCCACCTAATCTCCAAAATGAGCTGAAACTGCCGCGCAGCTGCAAAGGTCTTGTCGGCCTTTGAACTTTCGCGGCGGTGGGCGAAGGATTGCAACCACAGTTTGACTGGGTGCCTTTTTCAGGTTTTGAGTCCTCAGGTTTACTTGAGCTTCAGCGATTTAAGATGCACGGAGCACGTCGTGATGTCCTAAAGTCGAAGACAGAAACTCTTCAATTTTGAATCCCAAATCCGAAGCCCTGAGCACTTGAATCCTCAATTCAGGCGGCTGTAAAGCTTGAAGCGACGAAGCCCTGAGCCCTCAATTCCGCCAAGACCACAAAACCTTGAAAAGTGAAACCCGAAACTCCGAGGCACCAGCCTTAAGTCGCAAGGCCCCTGACACTCACAGAACCCCTTGAAAGCCCCCTGTAAACACAACCCCGTTCAACTCCTTGCGCCCAGGTTTCTCTCTAGGTTTCATCCCGGGGATCGGCTCTGGTACTTCAGGGTGCTTTGTGGGTCCTGGAGAGGGTTCGCAACTTAATCGGGCGAATACATCCGACGCGTTCCCAGGCACAAGGCCGAACTTCTCCCCGCAGTCTTAAGGACTTCAATCCGAAACCCTAGTCCCTTGAACCCTGAACCCCTGAACCCCTAAACCCCCAAGCCTCTTTGCTCTCTTCGTGCAGGCCCTTGGCTTCCTTCTTCAGCTTGGATCGCTTGGCCTCGAGTCGGCGGCTCCAGCGCGGACGGCGGTGGGAGGACCAAGAGCTCTTTGGGGATCACAGAGTTCCGGGTTTAGGGTTTAGGGCTTCGGGTTTCGGGTTTAGGGCTTAAGGGGTTTAGGGTTTAGGGTTTAGGGCTTCGGGTTTAGAGTTTCGGGTTCAACATAGAACCCGGCAGAATGTTTCAATATTATGCCAATTATGCCTTACAATTACAATATGCCCCAAAACCCAGCTGTAACGACAAAGGCCAGTGAGGCTCCTCTATGGGGGTTTGGGGTTCATTTGGGTTTAGCATTTTTGGGGTTTAGGATATGGAGTTTTGCGTTTAATTGATGCGTTAGATTTTTGTGCATAGGCCTTGGTTGTTTGTCGGGCGCCATCGCCAAGCGACGTTGCAGCCAACGTCATCCCACCAACTCCAGCTGAAAGAGCACTCTTGGAAGATAGGGACCCGTACTAATAGTTTCAGCAACTCGCTCCAAGGGGACCCGACATATTGAGAACACCCAACAAATCCCTGTTCTGCAGGGCCCCCAAGCCGTGAAGCCGATTTAGGGAGGAGCCTCAAAGTTCTTCGGGCTCGTCTTGTAGCGTTTTTCAAGTCAGATATGTCATACGTAACATGTGTCTCCTGTTCCACCCTTTTTCTCAGGTTTGATATTAAAAAGTACATGTATGTATGTGTACATCTGCATACATATTACACACGGCACCATGCATGCTGTTGTTCATCCTGCTTTGTGTTTTCGTATAATCGCCGCAACCCAGCAGTGACTGCAAACCGAGAGTCCAAACCCTCAAGCCTCAAGCAACAAAACCTTATCTAGGTTCCTCAGTGGTGCGCTTTTGCCCTTCTGATGATGGGAGCTACTTCTTAAAACAGAATAGTACGAAAGGGTACATGTATTACAAAGGGGCTACTCCGGAACCTAGCTATCCTCAGACACACATCTGAGCCTCAACCAAAATTGTGAAATCAACGTGTCCCACCTGGGTGTGTTTTTGTTTTTCCCGTGCTGAGGGCCTTGCAGTTTGAGCTTTGTCCACCTGTCAGGTCTTCAGCATTTGCGGTGCAGATGGCCGTTGGGAGCAGGCTGGTGTCGGGACGATGTCTGCAAGCAGACCCAAGGAAGAAGAAGCAGGAGGAAATGCAACCTTAAGCCAAAGCACAAAGCCCTAACATCGGCACACTGCACTCTGAATATCTCTGAACCTTGAGCACCAAACCCGAAACCAGAAACAAAATTGGCAACCTAGTAGGGTAGGGATTCGGACGCTACACTCTGGTCGATCTCTACTGACTCTTCAGCCAGAAGGCGTGCCAATCTCAACAAAAGCTGAGCTGATCCGAGCAGTCAGCACATTCACAGAAATACAAAGAAATCACCAGAGGTCGGGGTGGGTTCAAGGTTTAGAGTCTCAGCATCCCAAGATACCCTGCGCAAACCCATACCCGAAGCCGTGAAAAGCGCGATTCAGGGTTTCGGTTTTCCTAAATCCTATGCGGGAAGCCCAACGCGGAATCCCAATCCACTGAACCCGAAATCCACACGCTGTCCGTTGGAAGGCACTGACCGCGTGCCCGCCAACCGCGGCGGAATGGAGCCCTCCTGACAGATTGTGGGGTTTAGGGTTTAGACTGGAGAAACTTTAGAGAAACTGGGCTGAGAAAGAGGCGACTCAAGGTATCAGGTAAGTTTAGAGGCATTAACGACTAGAAGACTGCAAGGCAGTATTGCTACTGTACTAGTCATGCAGACCGTTATGCCATGGTGTTAAGGTTCAGGCATTACGCAGGTGTTTCTGCTAGAAGTTATGGAATCCGGCAGTAGACGGAGATTTCGGGTCCTGACAAGCACCGCTTGCTAAGGCTTTCGGGTTCAGCTCTTTACGCGGCCAACTTCTTTCTCTTTCTAGCTCTATTTATTTTTTGCATCGTTTGTTCGTCGTTCTCCTGTTCCTATCATGCTCCGACTCTGCCGGGAGTGCAGTTCAGCTTGTTTGATGCTTCGCTGAAGCACACAGACAAAGCCAGCAAGTCAGCTTCTGTTGCCGAGTCTGAAGCCTCTGGGATGTGTTCGAGCTTGTGTCCGAAGCCCCCAAGGTTGCCCAGTACAAACACTATAAAGTCCTCAACGTTGTAAGACCATAAACATCTTCAAAGCCTGAGCGAACACAAAGTCCTGAAACTCTCAAAGCCCAACGAAGCGTAAACTCACCAAGACACACCCAGCTTCATGTCCTCAAATCCCAATCAACGAGGCCTGGCAGAGCGCAACGCTGCAATCACCGCCTTGGGAGAGGCCCTTCAGTCAAAACGACGTTTATAGTTAAGGGTCTTTGGGTTACGGGTCGATGGGTTTGGGGTGTGGGATTTGGGGATGGCTATAGGGCTTTGGGGTTTTGGGAGCTACAGCGGTTGAAGGTTGATAAGTCTTTCCGGGGTGTGTGGGGATTGAAGTATCGGGCTTGACAGCGCCTGCTGCAAAGCTTTGGGTTGAAATTTATATACCCCGCAACCCTGTTAAAACTGTTCAGGCCCTTGTAGTAGCGTCAAGGAAACCGACAAATGCTCCTGCATTCTCAATTCTCCCTCCGAGCCCTCAATCTTGAATCTCGACATGCCTTGCCCCGACCCTGAGGGTTTAGGGTTCAGGCTTGAGATGGGTTGAGGCATAATGAGCCCGAAACCCGACAGGCCGAAATTGTTTCGCACGTTCCGAGGCTCACTCCTGGGCTATGTCCGGACAGCTCCTGACCTCACTGCTCCAGCAGCCGGGCAGCAGTGCGAAGGTTCGCGATAAAAGGAATCGCGCTTTTCAGGGCGCGGCCCTGTTCTAAATCCGCTGTCAAACAACATTCAACATCACTCTCGTTGGTGTGTTGTTCATCATTGTGGTTGTTGTCAAGGTTATGATGATCCTTACTTTGATTGCTCATCCTTGTTGTGTTTTGCTACTATGTCTGTATGCGTATATACATAGATATATATATATATATGTATATACACACACACACACACGTGCACACACACACACACGCATGTACATAGATAGTCGCAGGATGTGCCTCGTGTTACTAACAATGCTATGACGCAGTCTTATGTTCAGCACAATCAGTATCATCGGCAGCATGACTGCCGTCATAATTTTCTGTACTCATAATTAGTTGATGCTTCTCCACCTTTTTCCTGATTTCGTCGTCAACGAGGACTCGCTGCTACAGAGACTATCTGCCATACTGCTGCTTCTCTTGTCTGTACTTTGCTATGTCTAACGAAGAGCAGAGTAAACCAGGTAATATTCGTGTGCCAGAACAGATTGCTATTATCATGGCTGCATTGCACTTGCTGTGGGCATTGGAATAGAGTGGCTGCTCTTTCGTTCACTAGCCAACTTTTAAGCCCTGAAGCCCCAGA